AAAAAAGGTAAATTCGCTGGATTTTATTTTTTACTGAATCACTCCTTCGGCGAAAATAGCGAAAATAAAGTATTTCACAGTACGTAAGACAAAGACAACTCAGCACATGCGGTTCGAACCGATTCACTAAACATGCCGATACCTGGGTGGGCGGGCACTGTGCACCGAAGAGACATTTTTGTTAAAAAAGGAAATTGAATTATTCTCCACAAAGAAAAGGGATTTGCACATAAAATATTAGCAAAGAAAACCATATTGGACATTTGTACCACGTAAGTTGTTGAGATGTTCTCTGATTTGTTGACAGACTCCGTCTGCGCTATCCTCTCTTCGAGATTACCGCTCATTTTGTTGTATTCGTCGGTTAATTCGCACGGCGTCAGCTCGTCACTCAACATATTCATCTGGACAAAGAGTTAACCAGTTTTCTTTGCTCAAATTTCACATGTGTAATTTTCTCTCATCATCCGCCCTGCTTCCCACAACTTACTTAAAAGCAATAACCTCTCCACGCCTTTGTCTCCGTGTAAATTTCGTTTCCCGTGTTTGTTTTATCCCTTATTCCACGAATTAGACTGGCCTTTGTGCCTGTAATTTAATTTCTCCAATCATTAGAGTTTCCTTTAGGGAGTTCCCTTCTGTTAGGTGCCCCTTCCATTTGATAATAGCTTCGTTAAATTACGCTTTCTCTGAGATTAAATATACCTTTTGTTGGAGTGGTGTGTTTACAAATCTGTTTGCACGGAACTGTCTTCCACACCTGTTAAGAGACACACGCAACGGAGCTACTGGGGGAATAAAAAAAGACAACTCGCTTTCATAGAATTTAACCGTTCATTTTACTTATTTATCTTTCATTGCTAACGTTAGCAACGGAAGTCTAATGAACAGACAATGTGACATGCGTAGTTAGCGATATGCGTTAGTCCCGTCACGTGGTCTGCTAAAGCAAATATGAAGACACAATACAAAGACACCAATGAATGCCTAATGACGAAAGTGAAAGGTAAATGTTAAGTGCTACCCTCCAGTAAACGGTAATCAATAATATAAAAATGTTGCATTTCATCATTCCAATGTACCTACTGTTAAATTACATTTTGTTGTAGATATGAGTCGGTTTCCTAGACCAATGGCTTACTCTAATAATGTCGCTCCTTTCAACTGGAAAGTATTGATTACGTTTATTGAATATATGAAATATCTGTATCTCTTCATTTGATTTCAATTACGCATTTAAATATCGTACGCATGCGTGTTATTAGAATAATTTTAGAAGTTCAATTGCGATCATAGCAGCTTTTTATCAATTTCTCTGCGACAATGCTTATTGCAAGTCTATTCATCAAGTTTATCACTACTTATGCATGGAAACTAACACAATGTGGAGTCGTCACTACGATTATGTCCATCTACCAAATCTAGCATTAAAATTGGGCAGATTACTACTGCGTTCACGGTATTAGATTCGCAAGATTTAACACTGTTTCATTTATAGTGACTCCTTTTACTGAACATTAAGATTAACACGCTGTACCGACTTAAAATTAGATCGAGAACTTATGAAGCCATCTTTGAAGCCAGGGACGTGCGATTAGCTATGAGGATATTAAGAGATATTTTGAGGATTTAAATTGAAACAATTGACACACGCAGCAAAAGGGTATTCGAAGCCAAGTCCCCGGGTTATACCAAGCCCTCGAAAGTGGAACAATATTTAAAGAATAACATGTATTGGAATTAATCGTACCACTGATTTGCTGTTTAAATGTTAACATTTCATTGTTTATACCAATAAATCTATACCTGCATTACCAACGTACCGTTACAGCCCATGTGTATACCCCGGGCTTATATCATAGTACTGATATAGCCCTAGTGTATACCCCGGGTTTATATCATAGTACCGTTATAGCCCATGTGTATATCCCGGGCTTATATCATAGTACCGTTATAGCCAATGTGTATACCCCGGGTTTATATCATAGTACCGTTATAGCCCATGTGTATATCCCGGGATAATATCAAAGTACCGTTATAGCCCATGTGTATATCCCGGGATAATATCAAAGTA